AAATTTATATAATTTATACAATGTAATTTACTGGATTTTTTAAATATTCTATCTCTTACCATTAAAATTAACCTTCCCCTAAAATTATAGACTGTTGTAAGTGGGCAAACTTGAAAAATCAGCAATGGATGAAATACTCATTTCCCCCACTGTGTGTGAGAGTGAGTGAATATGACTCGTTATGTAAAAGCTCTGAGTGGTTAGAAAGCCTAGAAAAGCATTACATAAATTCAGTTCATGTCTTCAATGTCTTTTGGACAAATTTGGATAGATTCTTACCATGGGCTTAGTGAATGCCCCAAAGAATAATACTCTTCTTGTGCAACCTGTCAGTTTAGGTGGACGGCCATGTCTTGGTAGGTTTCCATTTTCAGATCAGGTCAGATCAGATTAGACATCAACACTCAATCCGATGGTGGGAACTGATGGCTTGTAGACAGGCACGGGAACTGATAAATGACCCAAATCTTAGGTTTGAGAAAGCTCTCATCACCCAGACGAGGATAACTTTAAGTACACTGGTTGAAGTCCTAACTGGGCACAACCTGCTCAACCACCACAAAATTGTGATGGAACTCCATGAACATTGGTCTGTGTGATGCAGGGCTGTACAGTGCAACATGTACTGTATGTTGCACATGCAATAAAAAGATAAAACTGTCTGTGCTGTAATTTTTTTAACAACACTGGTGGAACAGTAGCCTGGCCCTTGCCTTCCTACGCAGTTCCGCTGAATTCTAGTTTCCCTTCACTGCTCCGTCTGGYARTTCTCCCARAGACAAGGATTTCTGTCCATAAGAGTCTGTCAAATCATTCTTTGTCTGGTCTGCCACATAGGACCAATTTGCCATGGGAGACTCAGTGGCAATCGAAATTGCCCCTGACAGCATAGTTCCTAAGATCATTCAGGCGCATACACTCCCCCACAATGATTAGGTGGTGATTCAATGGAGGAGCATAAAATAATAATGTTTTATAATCAAATGTCTGTTTCTTGCTAGAAAACATATAATTAATCCTTAATGTCCCCCTTGTTCCTAATCAGTTGACGTGGGGGCTGAAGCCTGTCTCAGCTGTTTTGGGGTGATAGCAGGGGGCACCTGGACAGGTCTCCAGTCCATCAGYGATACAATGAGACAAACAACGATCCACATTCCCAATCATAATTCATACAGAAGAGCTCCAAGATTCAAACTGAGAACTCAGATCCATCTGCTGCCCACACAGTTCTGATCACTTATTATTAATGATAACAATTTATTATATGAAATTATTTCTGATAACTGTCATGAGGATTCTTTAACTTTAAGATGTGCTTGTAGATGCGCTGTTTAAATTTATGTTTATATCAAACAAGTAGCCCTTCATGTGAATCAGTACCCTTGTCCTACAACAATACCCACATTTTGTGCTTGTAGTTTTAGATATTATAACATACATTTTATGCTGGTGCAACAAAGTTTTGTTCTGTGCTACAAAACCAGCAACCTCTGTAGCACCAGTGCTTTGAGCTMAAAYAYTAAATGTACAACCCTGTGATGCCAGTGACAAGGAATTAGAGACCTCTTTGCACTATTTAGACCACTTCCTAGCTCTGTGCAGTCAAAAAAATAACAATTCTTGGGGACCCCTTTATGAATCCTGAGAAGCTCAAAACACTGAGTGTTTCTAACCTTCATCCAAGGAATTCAAAGGTTTGAATAAAGCTTTAGTCCTTTTGGGAAGAGCAATAGGTCCACTTTTAATCCCCGCTCAAATTGTTCTTTTTATCCATCCCCACTCACCATAAACATAAACTCACCATGTTCCTTGGTTTTAATGATGCAGTTTTATCCCTAATACTTTGTAACGAACTTCTGGAAAGCATAGCACCCATTGCCTTTCTTGCCAGTTTTAGGCTAAGAAATTTTTGTSTTAAAAAATTACAGTTTGACAATTTGCATTCAGATGAAAAGCTGGGTCACAGTCTCAGCTACRACAACAGCAAACACACCTGTACTAGTTCATACTACAGCATTACCTTGAAAGTTGGGTCTGATCCTCGGATCGTAACTGACCATCAGACGGTTTAAAATGTTGGAGGTAGAGTTAGCAGGAACTTGGGCCAAATCTTCTGGTGACAGCTGTCTGTTGAAAAATAAATGATTCAAAAAGATAGTTTAAATAACCAATATTCAACTCTAAAGTACAAGAAATTATAAGAAATATGGCTGGCTATTTTCTCTCTCAAATGCTGGATTTATATTACATAAAAAGACAGCTGATATTTGAAAAATACACAGTCATGGCCGAAAGTGATGGCTTCCCTGAAAAATTTCCAGAAATTGAAGTATTCCTTTACAAAAAATTGYGAAGCCCTCACCATTACTGAGCCCCAGGGCACTAAACTCTCAGGTTTCCCAGGGTCCAACACATACAGCGGGTAAAATAAGTATTGAACACGTCAACATTTTTCTCAGTAAATATATTACTAGAGGTGCTAATGACATGAAATTTTCACCAG